CTGCCATTGACGACCGACCCGGCGACGATGCCTCAAGCCCGCCTCTCGCGCATCTGGGGGACGGCGACCGTGTACACCACCGCGTCCCAGGCGCAAGTGACCGAACTCTGCGACCACGTCAAGCGCCGCTGCCCCGTGGCCAACATGGCCGTGCTTTCCGGCTGCGCGCTCGAGATGGACTGGGTCCAAAAGATGCCATCTTCAAGTGTTTAATCATCTTCAAGTGTTTAATCTATCAACTACTCTCGGCATTCTGATGGTTGGTCCAGTACGCTTCAAGCACATCTGGATGGCCTCGGAAGCGACGAGCGGCGACACTGGTCTCGGTCGTTCGCGGCGCCATCGACGAGCTGCCGACAGAGGGCGACGCGAGTGCTTGCTGTACGTCGACGACGCGCCGCGTGAAGTCGTCCCCAGCGACATGGTCGGCCAAAATCACGCGTACGTGGCTGCCAGGAAGCCCAGGTAGGTCTCGTTGATGCAGCACTCGGTCGCACGACGCGCAGAGCGTTACCTTGCAGTCGATGCACTTGAGGATGGCGGGCAGCGGCGCCTGCGCGACCACCTCGCAAATGGCACAGACGTGCGATGCACTACTTGAAGTCGTGGTCGCTGCGGACGGTAGTGGCTCGAGCAACGGCAATACGACGGTTGTACTAGGCACGTCACTGCGTAAACACTTGGTCGACGCTCCGAGCGGCGACTTGGCGCGTGCTTCGATCGGCGGCAGACAGGCCGTCTGCGTGCTTTGCGAGGTCGTGGACGAGCTCGCCGAGCTGTCGGCATCGTCGTTGTCGGCAGATCGATCCCGCGCTGTCTCTTCCGTCGGCGCCAAACGGTCCTTGGCCGCCGCCTCAAAGATGGAGGCATCGAGGCTCGCATCGAACCGGTCCAAGTCCGCATAGTACTTTTCGACCCAGCTTGGCATGTCGGAGATCATGAGCACAAGCGTCGCTTTGAGCCCCAAAAGAAAGTGCTCCAGCACCAAGATAATCGCCACCTTCTTGAGCAGCGTCGAGGGCGCCCAGTAGGCCGCGATGTACACGTCGAGGTCGGTCCCGAGGAAGATGAGCCCGCAGTTGACCGTCACGGCCGCACTAGACTCGACTCGTCCCACTTTCTGGCTCGAGTCGGAGTACGTACAAGCTCATAAACTCGAGGATCGACATGAACGTGGTGACTTCCACGTCGCAGTCGTAAACCGGCCGGCGCTTCGCCTCGAGACTGCACTGGACGTCCAAGTGTACTTCGAGCACGTTGTTGATCGCGGCCAGGAACGGGCCCGCGGGAAAGACGGTCACAAACATGGTAATGTAGCCAAACTGCATCATCAAATCGATCTAAAAGCACGCAACACTGCGCCTTGGCCCTTGCCGAGCATGCAAGTACCTGCTTGTTGAGGAGGAGGTCGCTGGGGTACATGAGCGCTTGCATGGCGATACCGCTAGGCACTGCCTCTTCGTTTTCGTTTTCGATTTGGTCGCCTGCATCCAGGCCAGGGATCGCGCCTACTTGCAAATGGATACTATGTCCACGCATCGACCCTACCCCCACCTGTGTCGTTGGTATAGGTGAAAAAGTCGGTGGCTTGGACGTAGCCGTGGCGGCGCCAGAGGTAGCGCACGTGGAGGAGCGGTAGCACGTAGTTAACGCCGAGGTTCTTGAGCTACACATCCTATTCTTGCAGTACGATCCAGGGTGTCTCGTCCGAACCTGTCGGACGACGAGGATCGTGAGCAGCTGCATGCGGAGGGCGCTGAAATCTTGGTCGACAAAGGCCAGCGCGAAGAGCGAAATGAACGCGTTGAGAAATTTGAACCAAAACAGCTTCATGGCGAGCATCGCCTCGTAGCCACTAGCACAATCCAATCAATCAATCCAATCTGTCCTCGAGACAATAGACAATATGTACCACACGGTGCGATGGTTTTCCCAGCGCGTCAACAAGTACGCAACGTGCGTGTAGGCTCCGTCGAGGATCAGCATTAAGATCGCATAGAGGGACGAGATGCACAGCGCATACGGCTTCCAGGCGTCGACACTGTTGGCCAAGCGCGAGGCCACAAACGCGAGGATCGCAATCACGCCCATCATCAGCAGCGCGGGCATTCCTAGCCCGACGCGAAGGTGCTGCAGCGTCGACGGAAACCGCACGTCCATCTACTTCATTCTTACAAGGTGTCGTTCGGGATCGTGCAAAGGGTACTTCGTTCGTGCGCATGTCGACGACAAAGTCGCCGTGGTACTCGGCCGACACGCCCGACGTGTCGTTTGTCTGCGGCAAGCCCCAGTTGCAGAGGAGCTCGGACCGCTTCCGCTTCCATCGCTCGACCATGAGCGTCGTCCAGAGCGACACGATGATCGCAAGGTACAAGACACCGCCTTCGTACCCGGCCAGCGACAGCACCTAAGTGGCATGTGTATCAATGTATCAATGTATCAAAAATACACGAAGACCTGGATCAGCATGCACAGCGGCGCGATCGCGACCAGCCACGCCGTGTAAAACATCATCCAGCCCGTATACAAGGCTGGTTTTTCCCCAAAGTACGACAGAATCGCCCACAGCGCCTAGAGGAGGCCACGTCATTTTGCCCGGTTGCGTTCCAATGACCAAGTATCTATACGCTGTAGTTGTGCCCACGGCCTTCGGTCACAAATTCGGTGAGCGTCACCGAAAGCCGCGCTCGGCTTGGGGCGAGCCAGCGCGCATGGATGACGCGGCAGCCGCGGCTGTCGTGGAGCGGAAACATATCGCGAATCGTATGCGCGCGCACATGCCGGCCGACATTGACGTTGTTGCGGATGATATCGAGAACCACCTGGTCGTCGTCTTTCAGTCGCGCCTTCCACCACGACGCGTCGTACCTGCTGCCGGTGCAGCGAAATGAACGGCTCGAACCCGGTCTTGGCTTTCATTTCGAATGGCTCGCGCAGAAGACTGCCACGTTTCCGTAGCTTGAGATGCATCTCTTCCGCGCGCTCGGCGATGACGAGCTCCATGGCGCCGACCGCGATAACGTCGTGGACTGTCTACAAGGACTCGGGCGTTCATACCAAGAAGAAAACAACGTCGACGCGACCTGCCCATCTCGGCGCGTGCCAGCGGGCGTGACGACGGCCGACGGTGCCCGCGCGCTCTCTTCCTCCAAGACATCCACGAGCGTCTTGCGGAACGACGCGTGGTCCCGGTCAAAGATCAACACGTACTCGAAGCGAAAGATCGATCGGATCGGTAGCCCGAGCAACTGGCGGACGCTTTCCGTGGCCACGTGCTGCGGCGTCGCGCCTTCCACGTTCGCGATGCGCACTTGGGCCGCGAGCTCGTCCGACGACAAGGTGTCCAAAAAAATCTGGACCACGGGCACATGGTTGTGCACCACGGCCACAAACAGAGGCGTCTCGAGCCGGTCGTTGGTCCATCCGCGCAGCGACGCCAGTCGCATCGACGCCTCGTCGAGCGCTGGCGCGACGCTTTTCCCATGGCTGGCTTTGGCTTTTTAGTTGCCAAGGCGTGTCCGACGTGCGATAGGTGGCCCAAGAGGCGCTGCACCATCTCTGCCAGCCCCATCGCACACGCCACATGGAGCGCCGAGTGCATGCGGCCGTCGTCCATCGCGACTGTGTACAGCGGGTTCAAGCTCGAGGCGGACACATCTTGGAATCGGAGGCCGAGGAGGAGCTGGACGTCGTCGAGCAAGTTGAGGCCCGCGCACCAAAAGAGCAGGTGCTGCCCATACCTATTTAGCGAGTTCCCATGCGTTTGCGACAGCATAGGATGGGAATTGAAGCTACCGAAGGACGTCGCTGGCGGTGAACATGGCCAGCGTTCGCTTGGCTTGGTGCGGCGGCTGGCTGCGCACGTTGCATATCGCAGCGTACTCGTTGGGGCGCGCGGCCATGTAGACGAAGTCCGCGACAAGCACTTGGACGACGCGAATGTGGTCGAGCCGGAGCCGCCACGTCCGGTACTCGAACGCGTGGCTAGCATCGTCGCTGTCGTTCAAGCACGTTGTCTCGCTGCAGTGGCGGAGACGGTGCATCTCGCCGCGGAGCTTGAGCGCGAGGCGACCCGCGAGGTCGACGGGGAAGAGCCCTTCCTGGGACTGGACGAGCGGGATGGCAAACTGCTGCGGCGCGAGCTTGACAGTGAGCGTGCTGCTCGGCCGAAGAAGGAGCGACGTCATTTCGTGGTTGCCGTTGAAGCAGCTCCAATGCAGCGGCGTCCAGTGGTTGCTCGTCTTGGTCGTGTTGGCGTGGCACCCGGACAGGAGCAGCTCCCGCGTGATCTCGAGGCCCTCGATAATGTGCTTGACCTCGGTGCCGCAGCCAAAGCACGCAACGCATTGGATCGGTGCGTTGCCGTAGTGGTCGACGTACACGCGTCCGTCAATGAGGTCGGCCGACTGGACCGTCGCCGAGGCCGGGAGG